AAAAAAAAAAAAAACTTTTATACTTATTATTTTCAACAACTAGAGCTTTAAGACAAAGAATGTATATCCTCCGAGAGAAACGATCTCCATAGGCTGGAGGTATGCAGCAGAGACACTTTAGAAGGAGGTCCAGCATTGGTGGGGCTGAACAAGGTATTCCCTACCTCTGATGGTCTATGTGTGTTGAGCACTAACAAGGGACTATAAGTACAGTGTGGAGTCAATCTGCAACCCAGAAGCACAAACTTGGTGTTTTCAAGACTGGATGTTGGGTAGAAGGGAGGCCTCAGCTACCGAGTCACCAGAGAACAAGACCACCTCTTGGAGCTCTACCTCGACTAGCATTTCCTTGACTTTCCCTGTTGGGGAGGACACATTGGCACCTGGCCTGGACAGAGGGTCATGTCAATGTGGCGGCCCCTCTGCACATTGCAGGAGCCGCCCATTCACCCAGGCCTTTCCCTTTTTTGAGAACTGGGAGCTTGCTGGCTGGGGCTGTTCCCACCAACAATGTTCCCATCCAGGGAGCTTAAAATAGACCCTCTTGGCTGGGGCTCTGGAGTGAGCAGTGAGGCAGGCATTTGTGCAAATATGGGCCTGGGAGAAGAACTCCTACCCAGGAGGGAGGGTTGGGCAGCAGGGCAGGGGAGCCAGGACCTCCTGCGGGGGATGCGCCCTCCTGGCCACAGCCAGCAAAGGCGCTGGCTAGCCTTGTCTTGCCTCCCCTGACCTTGCTGGGTCTCCTTGTGCAAGCTTTTAGACCAAATCTCTCAGGTCCTCCTGGTCTAGTTATGGCTCTGGGGTGGCCCCACTGGGAACAGGGTCCTCTGTATTCGGATGGTTCAGCCTTGTCTCGACCTCCCCATGCTCTTCCTACCTAGGAACACTCTGGAAACATCCTTGAAGTCCCAACTCAAAATTTATTTTAACAATAGCAATGACAATTGCAGCTACCATTAATTGAGGACTTATTTTGCCAAGAACTATGTGCTAAGCACTTTAACATTTGATCCTCACAGGGATCCATTGAAAGTCAAGTTATTATCATCTCCATTGAGCAGAAGAAACTAAGGTTCAGAGAATTCAAGTAAATTTCCCAAGGTCACACAGCTATGAAGGGGCAGGGATAGGATTGAAACTCGGGTCTGTAAATCTGTGGAGTCTGAACTCTTAGCCCCTGGGCTGCACCTCGTCCCTCAGGTCTTTGCTGCTCTGGCCTCCCACTCTCCATCCCAGCATTACCACCCTGTATTACAGTAGGTTTGATTCAATGTGTCAAATATTTAGTGGGTGGCTACTATGTGCTAGGAACACTGCTGTGTTCTGTGCCCACAGCCTGAGAGCTCTCAGATATTCCTAGAACTCTAGTTTAGACTTGGGCTCAATGAGCCCCTGAACCTGAAGGGTCCAGGTTGTTTGAGGGTGTCAGGCAAAGCCAAGGCCATCACACACCCTCCTCGTAACCAGCTGACTAGCTGGACATTCCCCTCCTCTTCTTGATGTAATGCTCCTCTCTTTGGACCACTGCAGGGGGTCAGACAAACTTGTTTTGAATCCTCTGTGACTTTGGGTAAGTGACTAAGCTCTCTGAGCCTCAGTTTCCCCATTAATAAACTTGGGATAAAACTAGGACCTCACCATAGGGTTGCTGGGAGGATTTAATGAAACAATGCACATGAAGGACTTACACGTGCCTGGCAGTCAGTAAGTGGATATTAAGCAGCAGCTATTATTATTACTAATCGTTTTTTTCTGAGAATTAGTGTGTCCAGGTGCCAAATGCCTTGGGCCTAGCACATAGTAGGTGCTCAAAGTAAAGGGAATCACTTGCTCAGCAGACAGAAGCCCCCACTCCCACCCCTAGCTTCTATGCCATTCCTGCTCTGATGTGGAAGGTGTCCTGGGCGTGGGTCCTCATTAACAATAGGGGCAGGCACAGGGTTCCTCCCCATTCACCCTGTCCCCTCATTTTCAGCCCTGTGGTCCACTCCAAGAGAAAGCGGTGGGTGGCATGGAAGTTCCATCAGCGTTTGCCACTCTCTCCAGGGCTATCTGGCTTTCTCGTGGCGCCACCTGGAGGTGGGTGTGACACCACTCTCGGCGGGGCCTGCAGCCGAGGGCTCTGGCGGCTGTGAGTGACCACTACTGCCCCCTTGCTCTCTAGCCCATTCATTCATTCATACCAACCCCGTCCTGTGCCTAGCTTGTGGGGCGGGAGCCCCTGAAGCCCAGGTTCCTACACCTCCCTTTTGGGCTTGGCACTGATGCCTGGGTTGTGTATCATGGCCTGCCTGGGTGCATGCTCAGAACATTCCTCAGGGCAGATTCAGTGGTTTCTAGAAGCTAAGGCTGGAGGAAGGAGCCTCCTTTCTGGCCTGAGATGGCCCAGAAATGGGAAACCCAATGATGGTCTCTGGGTCCATGCCTGACTCCCCATAGCACCTGCATGGGAACCCCACAACTCCCCTCCCCATAGTGAGGGATCTAGGGACCCCCAGAAGACTGGCCTGGCTCCTCGGCCCCCTCCAGACCAACAGGGAGGCCCAGTCTGGCCCAGAGCTGTTAGTATAAAGTTTGAGGGAAGAGCAGTGAGCAAGAATTAGGAAACTGAGCTCTGCCCCCAGCTCTGGCACAAACATGCAATGTGAGCTTGGGTGAAGCCCCTCCTCCCCTGGGCCTTAGTCTCCTCATTGTAAAATGGAGGGGAAGGGAGTGGGCTAGATGATAGTTAAGGACCCCTTTATTTCCCAGACTGGGTTCATGCTAAAATGCAGATTATCCTGAGCCTGCTGTGTCAGGATCTCGGGCTGGGATGCTGGAATCTGTATTATATTAACAAGCACTGCAGCTGGGAGCTGGGGAGATGGACAAATCCTGGCTTTGGGAGGTAGATGCAAGGGGTGAGTATTTCCAGCAGGTAAGGAGACTGTGATGTTTTGGGGTTCCCGAGAAGCAGAGGAACCCCTCCATACCCCAGCAGCCATTTCTCCCTTCCCCCACTTTTCTGTGGCATGAGGAGGGGTCACTGCAGCCGCATGTGTGTCGGACCTGCTGCCAGCAGCAGCAGAGGGTAGCAAATTGCCACACAGTGTACAAAGGGGCCTCCCTCATCCCGCGCCCCTCAGACTGGCCAGTTTATTTGTTCAAAGGACAGTGGTGGTGGGGCTGGGACAGCCTGGGGTGGGGATGGTGGCCCTTGTTGCCTGAGGAGGTATTTTCAGAGTCCCCCTCCCTCTGGATTTTCCAACATAGAATACAGCCCTGTCTAGTATTTGACCAAATATGGTGGTATCTCCCGATGAGCTCGCGCCCCAGCCAGCCTCGCAGTTATGCTGTGGAAACCTTCCCTGGACAGATTAATCTTGTGACATTCAGGAGCGCCTCTCACCCTGCGTTCTTCCCCTCAGCGGATTCCTGTAAATGGCCAACCCTGGCCCTCGGCAGGACACGGCGGTCCTGGACGTCTGCTCCCAGTGCCCCTCCCCTGTCCCCTCCACACTACCTCCCCCCAGTCCTGCTTCGCTGGGTGGGTTTGTTCACCTGCATTCGGCTGGCCCGTTCACTTGAGGTGAGAGACACTGGTCGGAGGGCCCGGTCAGTTCAGCATGTGATTCCAGGACCCATGGACCCAAGGGTCACCGCAGCTTACGAAGTTGTGGCCTGAGTCTGGGAAGCCTAGTACTCTCTCTGCCAGGAGGGTGGGCCCGAGCGGGTAGAAAGGAGAGTCGGCTGAGTAATGAGAACCGTGTTAGCTCTAACACTAATTAGAACAGCTAACTGGCTGTTATATGAAATTATTATGATAATTTTTATAATAAAGAACTAAGCGTTTGCTGGGCACTTGCTCTGTGCCAGGCACGGGGCCAGCTATGTAACATGAGTTATTTCTTTTACTCCTCAGAGCAGCCTCAAGAGGTGGGTGCTATGACTATTCCCATTCTAGAGACATGGGCACTGAGGCCCAGAAAGATTTCAGGAATGGGCCAGGCCACTGTCTATTCCTGGGCATGACTCCCATTTTACAGAGAAGGGAGCTGAGGCTGAGAGAGAATGAAGGTCACAGCGGCCACACAGGACCAGACCCTGGAGTGGAGACCTTTCACACGTTAGAGGGAGTACAGTGTCAGGAAGGCCAGAACAATCGGCCACAAAGTCCTCATAGATCCACAACTTGGCTTGCACGAGAGCACACAAATTCAGAAACATGTTCACAGCAGGCTGGAATTGTGCAGAAAATATCCCAAGAAAAACAGTAAGGGGTGGTGGATAGAGCCCTGGACAGGGACTGGGTACAAACCTCAGCTCTGTCGCCTCTAACTCACTATGTAATACTGGACAAGTCCCTTCTTTACTTGGGCCTCAGTTTCCCTGCCTGTGAACTAGAGGGTGGGACTCTGGTGTTCTAGGGCTGTTGAGCTCACCTGAGGCTGTTTCCCTGGGAGATGGGGTCTGTATCCCGCTCCTGGCCAGCACACTCCGAGAACATTTGCTCTCCTGACCAGCCGACAGCCCATCCCTCAACCTCCTCCACCCTCAACCCCTTGCCATACCCAAAGCAAACGAAGCTGATTGTCTTAGCTGGCCCTGTGGGTGCTGGCTGGGCGGCCAGCCGCAGGCCACAGGCGGAGGTGCCACCAGCCAGAGCCCCACCAGACACACAGGGCATTGTCCCTCGGTCAACAGCCCCTGGGCACCTCGGCCCGGCTCCTGGCCTGTCCCCACACCCCTCACCGCCTGCCACTGTGCTAGGCCCAGCCAGCTGGGGGCCCAAGGCTCCCAGCTGATGACGAGCCCACCCACCCACTCCCCCGGCAGTCCCCTGTTGAGCTATAATTGCGTCGCTCCATCCTGTTGCTGCCATTCTGTTGGAGGCAGCATCTGGGGTTCCAGGCGGGCGGCAGCTGCAGGCCCAGCTTGGCAGGATGGATTGGCCGCACAACCTGGTACGTGGCGCTTCCCCACCCCCACCCTCACCCCTTTTTAGGGCTTGAGTGCTTCAGTATTTCTTTCCTATTGATTAATGTCTGCCTCTGTTTGGCTTGGAATCTGTGGAGGCGAGTTCTCCCTCTGCCCTCTCCCCCAGGACGAGAAAGAAACAGAGAGTGGTCTCAGAGCCTGCAGCCACGGCCAGTAGGCTCAGGCTCCTGAACTGGGCTCAGCCAGTCCACACTGAAACCTTTTCAGGACAGAGGCATCTGGGGAGATCCTGGCAAATTCAGTCATTGGGTTTTTCCAGAATCCTGGTTCCTGAGATCTGGGCTATGTGACCTTGGACAAGTCCTTCTGTTTCTCTGTCTCCCATCTGGAAAGCGAGGGAGGGGGAATAATTCTATTCTGCGTTTCTCTGAGTGGAGAGCCAGAGTTTAAGAATGTCGTGTGAGAAGTTCATATGAGAGAGCCTATTGTTAGGGAGACATTTTCCTGCACCAGAATCTAGGACCAAAAAAGAAGAATTCAGTGACTTGAATCTTGGTTGCAGATTCTGTGCCAGGAAATGGCTCTGCCAAGAGGGGCTATGCTGAGACTTGTTTTCAAGGGTTGAGACTTGCTGTTTAGCCTGATAAATCAGCCACGGGCCATGTGGGCCGAGGGGTGAGGGGTACAGGGAGGTAGGTGCCTGGCTAGATCCAGCAAGGAGATAAAACTCGCTTAGAAGTTTCTCCATGTTGGCCAGCTCTGGCCCCGACCCAGATACTGGCCCTTCTCTCCCCAGCTTCCTGAGGAGCCTGGGTTCTGCCGGGCCCCCACATTATCTTCTGTATGAGCCAGAGGCTTTCCTGATGCTCTAGTTCTGGGGAGGGAGAAGTGGATGGCAGTGGGTGAGGAGGGAGGGGGGCAGGCAGGGGGTGGGGATGTGGAGGAGGGCAGGGCAGTGCAGGTGTCGTGGAGGTGGAGTCCAACAGGGCGTCCTCGGCCCCTGACCTGCCCATCTCCTCAGCATCAACTCAGGCCTCCTTCCTCCTGCCCGCTCTATTTCAGTCTCATGTTTCCTTTCAGCAAAGCTCTTCAGCTCAAACCTCCTCTCACTGTGTCCCCTGCCTATAAGACATCTAGACTCCCTCTGCCTACATCTGTCTCTATCTTATCCTTCAAGCCTTGCCTGACATGTTCCCTGCCCAGAAAAGCTCTACCAGGCCACTGCCCTGGCACAGGCTGAGCAGGAGCCACTGCTCTCCCTAACCACAACCTGCACCTGTCGCTAGCGAGACTTAGGTGCTTGTTTCTTTGTTTACCTTCTGTTTTCCCTCCCAGACTGTAAGCTACAAAAGGGCAGGTATGGCAACTGCCACCCATCCACTCTGCAGTGTTCATGAATACCTAAGTGCTTGGCACCATGCAGACACGGGGGGTAAGACAGTGTGTGAAAACTGACACGATGCCCTCATGGAGTCTGTGCATAGTGGGGGACAGACATAGAATCACATGTACAGACTGTAAGATTGCAGTCATGCAAGAGGCGGGTGAGTTAGAGAGCCCAAGTCCACAGGCATCCCTAAGGATGTGACACTAGAGCCGACACAGGAGGGTGGGAAGGCGTTTAGAAGATGAAGAAAAGAGGCAGAGTGTGTAGGCAGAGGCCTGTGCAAAGTCCCTGTGGCAGGAGGGAGTATGGTGGGAGTAAGAGATTGAGAGAAGGCCAGAGGCTGGAGCAGGGCGTAGAGCTCAGCAGGGTCAGACCAGTGGCCTGAGAGATCCCTAAGGGCAACGGGAAAGGTGTTAAGCAGGAGGGTGACCTTATCAAATCTGCATTTCAAACAGCTGTCCTTGGTTCTGGTGTGGAGAATTGATTGGATGGAGCCACGGGGGATTTAGAAAGACCAGCTGGGAGGCTGCCGAGCTGTCCAGGGAAGTGAGGGTGGTGGTGCAGATAGAAACAACTGGATGGGCAGGGAGATTTTTAGGAGGTGCCAGATTTTTAGGACCTAGCGGTGAGTTGGATGTGAGGGAGGGAGAGAGAGGTGTCATTGTTGGTGCCCATCACAGAGCGTAGTGTATAGCAAGTGTTGGTACCCATGTGTTGTGGCCCTGGGGGACCAGGCCAGGGTGGGTGAGGGTGGCCCACACAAAAGTCTTTCCTTGGGCCGGCCCGGTGGCGCACTGAATAGTGTGCCGCTTGGGAAGCGCGGCGGCGCTCCCGCCGAGGGTTCGGATCCCACATACAGACTGGTTCCCGCTCACTGGCTGAGCGAGGCGCGGGGGCAACACCGAGGGTTGCGATCCCGTTGCCGGTCCCGGTCCGGTACGGGGGCAACACTGAGGGTTGCGATCCGTGGCCGGACACGGAAAAAGACAAAAGACAAAAAAAAAAAAGTCTTTCCTCTTCCCTCTCTCCTCCCTGGACCATGAATCTTGGCCCAGAGAGAGACTTGGCTCTCCCACCCTTGACTTGTGGCCTTCCTCCCCAGCTGTTCCTTCTTACCATCTCCATCTTCCTGGGGTTGAGCCAGACCAGGAACCCCAAAGGCAAGAGGAAGGGGCAAGGGCGGCCTGGGACCCTGGCCCCTGGGCCTCACCAGGTGCCACTGGACCTGGTGTCACAGGCGAAACCGTATGCTCGCATGGAGGAGTATGAGAGGAACCTTGGGGAGATGGTGGCCCAGCTGAGAAACAGCTCCGAGCCAGCCAGGAGGAAGTGTGAGGTCAACCTGCAGCTGTGGCTGTCCAACAGGAGGAGCCTGTCCCCCTGGGGCTACAGGTAGGCAGGGCTGGGCAGCTGGGGGCTGCTGTTTGTTGGGGGCTGGGACCTGGCCCCCATCTCACTCACTGTAACAGTTATGACCTCGAATTCAGAGGTCGAAGTGCCTGGACTTGAATCCCAGCTCTGCCTCTTACGAGCTGTGTGGCTTTGAATAAGTTGATTAGCCTTTCTGAGCCTCAGTTTCCTCAACTGTGAAAGGAGGTGATAGTGATACCTACATCATAGGCTTGCTATTAAATGAGACATCCGTGCAGAGCACTGCCCTTTTCCTTCTCCAAGTCCCAGCTGAAGTGCCTGCAAAGCTCCCCCGAATGTCACTTCCTCCAGCTCTGTGGAGCCTCGCGCACACTTCTCGCCTGCATCACTTCTGTGCGGTATTAAGTTGGCTGTGTTCACATCTGTCTGTCGCACTAGAAGGGGACCTTCCCAATGCCTGCATCAGAATCATCTAATGATTCCCATGCCCTGCCCAATCAAATTATCCAGGGGTGAGGCCCAGAAAGTGGTATTTTATCTATCTCCATGTGATTAGATGCACAGTCAGGTTTTGATTTGGGAATCAACACCTGCTGGCCCTGATTGGCAGAAGCAGCATCTTACCTTGGGTATAGTTCCACGTCTGGCACATAGATGGGACAAATGTGTATGTGCTAAATGAATAGTGAAAAGATGGTCTGGCCCTGAAGGGTCCTCACTCACAAACCCAGGCCAAAATTTTTTCAGCCATGCAATTTCCATCTTGAGACTCTAGAATAGCACTGCTCACTAGAACTTTCTGTAGTGATGTAAAGCCCAGTATAGGGGCCATTAGCCTCATGTGGCTATTTAGCACTTGAAATGTGGCTAGTGTGACTGAGGAACCCTTCTGATTAAATTTAAGTCGACCCATGTGGCTAGTGGTTTCTGTATTGGTCAGCGCAGCTCTGGAATTTGACAATTGGAAGGGTCAGTAAAGACCTTCCAGGAACTGCACTTCTCATACTTTACCGTGCCCGTGAATCCTTGGGGATCTTGTAATAATGCAGGTTCTAATTCAGGAGGTTCTGCATTTCTAACAAGCTCCCAAGAATAATAAGGCGATGCTGATGCTGCATGTGCACGGGTCTACTTCACTCATACCTTTCCCTCCCATTTAGCAGATGAGGAAACTGAGGCATAGAGAAGGAAAGGCCACAGAGCAATTCCCTGGATTCTAGACTCCGTGAGAGCACCAGGCAGGAACTTGTCTGTTTTGTTCTTTAAGGAACACCTAGTCTAGGACAGAGCCACTCACGTGATGTGCAAGAAATATTTGTTGAACGAATGGAGACTAAATCAGAATGGAGCCCAGCCCTCCTGACTCCTCTTCCAGTGGAAATTAGGCATCACGGTGCTCACATTTGATTTCCATGGATTAAGTTTCCCAAAAATACAAACAAGGGGGAGAGCACAGGGGAGTCAGAGGGAGGTCTTAGGCTTCTCTGTGATTGCCACAGCACAATCTAGTAATGGGGTGAGCATCTTGCTGTATAAAACAAAGAAGCTGGATGGCTAACTGGTGACCTTGAACTTGGGTAACCTTGGGACAAGTGACTAGCCATTCATGGTCTTCAGTTTCTTCACCCAGAACGCTGAGTTGATTACTGCCCTTTCTCCAGAAGTCTTCTTGTGGGAACCAAAACTCCGGTTATGGAAGGTAGGGGCGCGGGGAGTGGTTGCAGATTTGCTCTCACTCACCTGACCACCTTCCGCCCTGCGCGCTCTCCTGCTCCCCACAGCATCAACCACGATCCCAGCCGCATCCCCGCGGACCTCCCGGAGGCGCGGTGTCTGTGTCTGGGCTGCGTGAACCCCTTCACCATGCAGGAGGACCGCAGCATGGTGAGCGTGCCCGTGTTCAGCCAGGTGCCCGTGCGCCGCCGCCTCTGCCCGCCGCCGCCACGCACTGGGCCCTGCCGCCAGCGCGCGGTCATGGAGACCATCGCTGTGGGCTGCACCTGCATCTTCTGAACATCCGGGCCCAGGCGCCAGGCTGGCAAATGCAGATCGCCTTCCCTGCAACCCGTACCAAGCAAGGCCTATGAAAAGTAAATGCTGTCTTTCGTAAAGCAAGTCTTTGGGTTTGCTTCTTGCGGCTCCGAAGCCAAAACCAGGGTGGTGGTAAGAGGTTCCTGGGAGGTCGACTTCAGATCAATATAAAGGAAGCTTTTCCATCACTTTGAGTTCTCCAACACTGAGATAGGCTATTAAAAAAATACTGCATACATTTTACCATTTAGGACAGTTACATGCTTTCTTTAATTTGGATTTATAAACCTATATTTCAGCCAAGCTATTGTAGCTTGATTGGTATAAGCCAATACAGGACTTAACGAGAGCTAACTTGTTAACTCTACCCAATTAAGTCAAAGATCATTGGAAACAAGCTCTTTTGAAGCAGTGAGCTCTTGGTCTCAAAGTGTCAAACTAAAACTGAGCTTCTCAAGAATGTTGTGAAGCAGATCCCTGCTCTGGCTTGAGTAGATGATCTATAATCTTTCAGCTCTGAGAGTCTCCACAGATCAGACTTAGACCCAAAGAAGGATCTCCGGGTTGCCAGAGAGTGGGTGTTTTTAACCTGGGCCAATGAGCCCCTGAAATATTCATGTGAGAATCTATAATCTTTCAGCTCTGAGAGTCTCCACAGATCAGACTTAGACCCAAAGAAGGATCTCTGGGTTGCCAGAGAGTGGGTGTTTTTAACCTGGGCCAATGAGCCCCTGAAATATTCATGTGAGTATGCATTTTTTCTGAGCCTCATGAGGATCCTTGGTTTCGAACTCAAGAGTTGAGAAGCGTCAATGTAGATCATTCTTTCTTCCAGCCCTGTCCACAGGGGATCTGGTTAGATGGTTTGCTGATATCACTGATTCTCAAACTTTAGCCAGCATCGGAATCACCTGGAGTGCTTGTTAAAACACGGATTGCTGGGCCCCACACCAAGAAGTTCTGATTCAGTTAGTTTTATGGTTATTTTTTTTTTTGGGGGGGGGTGGCTGGCCAGTTCAGGGATCTGGACCCGTGACCTTGGTGTTACCAGCACCATGCTCTCCTAAGTGAGCTAAAGATTCAGTAAGTTTTAAGTGTGGGGTGATACTTTGCATTTTTCTATAATGGTTGCTTTGCATTTCTAATATAGTGGTTTCCAGGTCATGTTGATGCTGCTGGTCTGGGGATCACACTTTTGAGAACCACTGGCTTTTTATCAAGACACTTTGGCTGGCTGGTTAGCTCAGCTGGTTAGAGCACCTCATAATACCAATCATGGGTTCGGATCCCTGTACTGGCCAGCTGTCCACCCCCTAAAAAAGACACTGCTGATCAACAAAGGCTGTGTGGATTGACTTGTGCTATAAAGCCCATGTTGGCTCTTGCCCCTGGATGCTAATGCCTGCCTCCTCCATTAGCTCCTAGCAATTCAATCCTCCCCTTGAGCTCTCTAACCCCTGCAGCAAATCCCAAATCAGCTGTTCTAGGGTCCAAAAATACCTTCCCTCCCCCAAGACAGCTGAGGGGCTCAGGATATATGTTGAGAGTAAGAATAGTTAGCACTTTAGAGTTAGTTTCAGTAAAAGGACCCACAGTCCAGTATAGGAGTACTTTACTTGTCTGCTCTAATTTCAGTGCTTAAAGCAGCTTTAGCACTGAATGTTTTAAGAGTCTAATTCATGAAAGGCCAATAGTTAAATATGTGCCTCTCTGGGGTGGTAACTTACCTTTTTTGGTATTGTTCTAGAGTGGGTACTGGTTAAAATTACCCCAGGAAGCTTCGGCCTGGTTCCAGACACATGGAAAATAGAGTTCATGTGCCAGCCCATACTGATCCCTTCAGCAGCAGCTTCTCCTCTCTCCGGGGTTGTTTTGTCTGAGGCTCCCACAGAATTCTCCACAGGTCTTAAGACTTCAGCCCCACAGGAAGGGCCCACAACCTCTAAAATCTTTTTGTGGGGGTGAAGGTTTGGGAAGAAATAAGTGTCAAGAGAATTTTTCCTAGACCTGGGAGACCCCTGGGGCCCTGGGGCACAGGGATTGGGTGGGGAAACCTCATCACGGTGATGAGGGGCTGTCCTCCTTCTATCAGAGTGTCAGAAACACAGAGATGCCCAATAAATGTCAGTTAGTTTTATATGGATGCTGCCTTTTCCTCTTTCTGGGCTTCAGGTTCCTCATCTGTGAAATGAACAGATGGGATTTAGAGATCTCCAGAGTCTTTTCCAGTTTTACCTTTCTGCAACTTAAAAACTTGGCCTTGTGAGCCTGGGCTGGCAGCTGGCCCTTCCCAGTCCCCTGTTTAAAGGCAGCAGCAGGGAGCTCATGACTTTTGGAGAGCTGGGTCTCCAGGGCACCCCAGAACCTACTTAGGTCTGAGTCTAAATGTGTTTCATGTTTTCCGCTCTCTAGTGAGAAACTCCCACCCTGTGAGATAGGGGCCTCGTCTACCTCAGTCAGGGCTGCATCTCTAGCACTGAGCCCAGTGCCCTGGGCAGAACAGGGAGGCAGCGCTTGGTGAATGAATGCATGGAGCCTCTAGGGGGAGCTCAAGATCTGCCCTCAGCTCCCTCAATTGCTCCCTCATAAGTGAGCACCACCTTCCTTACCCCATCCCCACTCTTCCCTCCACAGCTGCTCCCCCTTACCCCCACCCCAACCTCAGAGTGATGGAAGTTTGCTTGGGTCACCTGCCCTAGCAAGTGGAGTTCCTGTGAAGGGTTTTAAAAGTCTATAACCCTACACCCAAGGTCTGCTGAGGATGACTGTGGCTCCTTTCCTGTTTTGTATGGTGGATTACAGGGCTCTCTTTGTCTTTGCAAATGCTCTCTCTTCTCCAGGGGCTGTGGACCCTTGAGGGCTTCTGGCCTGGCCTGAGAAGGCTAGGGTGAGTCCTGGGGTAAAGGCTTCCTGCTGGTTCTCTTACTCTTTCCTGGAATCTCTGTCATTTCCTCTCTGCCTGCAAGGAATGGAGATGGTGAGACCCAGCTCTCAGGTTTGGGCTTGGGGAAACAGGCAGCGTGGGCATTTTGGCTGGCGTTGGTTCTGAGCTGTTCGGGTCTGCCTATCCAGGTAAAGGACAAAGCTAGCTCCACTGTAGTCATGCTTGGACATGAAGTTGGGGCCCCAGCGAGGACTGAAGATCAAGTATAACTGCCCTGGTTTGCATCTTCTGTGCACATATCTTTCTTAGGGTGAAAGGGAGATGTAGTTATCAGGGATAAGTTTTTTATTGTCCTTGATCCTTTGGCCCAATACCAGTTATCATCAATTACACCATGACAGCCCATGTCATCTTCATTTCAAACACAGATCATCAAAAATGCCATTACACACTTTGATTTCACTAGACTTGAGAGGAGCAGGGAGAGTATAGCTCCACCTGCATGTGGCTGACATTGCGGCTCTCTCTCTGATATTCTTGCAACCCCTCCAATCTTTTTTTTTTTTAAAGATGACCGGTAAGGGGATCTTAACCCTTTACTTGGTGTTGTCAGCGCAACCCCTCCAATCTTTTTTTTTTTAAAAGATGACCGGTAAGGGGATCTTAACCCTTTACTTGGTGTTGTCAGCACCATGTTCTCCCAAGTGAGCAAACCGGCCATCCCTATATGGGATCCAAACCCATGGCCTTGGTTTTATCAGCACCACACTCTCCCAAGTGAGCCACAGGCCGGCCCTCACCCCTCCAATCTTGAAGTTTGGATGAGACCGCATCTGCTCCAGGGATGAGACCTGACTGTTCTAAGCCAATCAGCTTAATCTCATTCCCTGTGTCACGGTTATTGGTTTGGTGTCTGAGTCTTAAGCCAATCAGCATGTGGCATTCCCTTGGCCACAGGAATTGGTTCAGGGGTGGTCCAACTGGCCCAGAGCCCAGAATTTGGTTTAGTGGTTGTGGGAGAAGACCTTCTCACCCTGGGGGCTGTTGGCAGCCATCTTTGACCATGAGAGGAATGATGAAACTGGAAATTGCACAGTGCTCTATGCATGGACTTTAAAGTCATGAGAACAAATAAAAACTTTTTATTGCTTAAGCCAAATTGAGTTTAGTTTTCTACTGCTTCAACTAAAAGCCTTCTTACTGATGTGTCAGTTTCATAATTTCTATAAAAACCAATGAGTGCATGCTACTTGTAAAGACTCCGTCTCTTTCCCTGCCATTACCATCACCCCGGCATAGTAAAAACAGCCTCAGAGCCAGTTGGGACTTCCACTAACTGGAAGGGTATTTTGCCCTAAGCTGAACTCAATTAATTTTGAGAAGCTCCAGATTTGAGCTATTGTATGAACTCACCAGGAGCCCTTGGACAAGTTATTTCCTCACTTTAGGCTTTTATCTCCATCTCGACAAAGAGAAGGAAGTTAGCTGGATAAACTCTGCGGACTGTTCCTCTTAGAAAAGCCACAATATTAGCATCACTTGGCAGTGTTATTTTCTCTGGGCACCCAGGCCCCCTTCCCTGAAACCTGATTAGCAAGTCTGGGTGGGACTTGGGTATCTGCATCTTTATCAAGCTCCCCTCCACTTTTCCAGGAGATTTCGATGTGGTGGTTGGTCCATCGACCATACTGGGTGTCTAGGGTTCAGTTCCTCTGTTCTCTCCTTTTACAGAAAGAACAGATCCAAAAGGAGTGAAAAGGACTTTTATTTACTTTTCTAAAATGACTGATCTTTAAAGGTTTGGAGAAAAAGCAAAGCAAAGCATAATTCTCTCCTTTGAAGCTAGTGAGAGGAGAAAGCACTGGCTTAACCTCTGAAGAACTCATCTCAACACCTTTCCTTCCTTTGCTGTCGGGGTGAATGTTTGGGGGCGAGATATAACTGCTCTCCACCCTCTGGGAACTTGTCTTCTTTGTAAGACAGATCCATTGTATTACTCCTCAGCCTGTGCGTAAGAAACAGAATAGTCAATTCCTCCAGGTGCCAAGGAAAAGCTTCCTGCTTCCTATAGCCTGGCATGTTTCCCTTTTCCCACTGAAAAGGGAAAGGTTGCCAGGAAGCTCAGAGCTATACTGCCAGCTCTGTTGGGATAAACATCTCTTCCTTGGGTCCTACCACAGCCATCTCCCCAATAGGCAGAGTTGTTGAGAAGCTTGAAATTGGTGTCTAGTAAGTTCTGAACTAGGTACCTCAAATAGAGCAAGCCCACGGTAAATAGGAGCTATTATCATTGCTTGGGCTTTCTGATCTTCCCTTCTACTTTACTTGTCACCATCTAGTTGTAAATGTTTTATTGTAGTTTGCATCAATAGGTTGTCCATTTTGGGAGCAGGTGGTGAAAAACAGTAAAGAAATTAGGCTCAGCGTTCTCTGCCTTATACTCCCTCCCACAGTCTTCTCAGTTCCTAGTTAGAAAACAAAGTCAGAAGCAGGTTGAGAAGATGGATTTTAATTTCTTAAAAAAAAAATAAATAAAACAAATACACTGGCTTGAATTTCCTTTCTTTTTCTTACTTTCCCCTTAAAAGAAGAAGCAACAACTGAGAGGATCCTCAAGGTATTCAGGCAGACAGACAGTGGGCCACATGGACCCACACAGGAGGGAAAAGATGCTTGACACATGAGGGGTCACAAAGGCTCAGGGGCGAGCAGGGCTTCTTCAGTCCTGGGCTGCTGAGGGGTGTGTGTGACTCATCTTCAATGGTGATGGAAGTTCCCGGGCTCTCCCTGGAGCCCTCACAGTTCAGTCTTGACCTTGTGCATCAAGTCCTTTTGGTCAATCTTGTCCAGGTCCTGGTACCAGCGGTTGTAGGCCAGCAAGGCCACATTCTTGGCAGCCACGGCCATCACCTCCACGGAGCTGGCTGCCCACTCCAGGGCATTGAGGTAGAAGAGTTGGTCATGGAGCACGAACCTTGGGAGAGTGGTGCGTGAGCCGTAGAGGGGATGGGCCTGCCACTCGGCCATCTGGACTGAGTAATAGGAACGGAAGAGGGTCTTCAGCTGGGTCCGAAAGAGGGGCTTGGGGGACTGGACTCGCCAAACAGCTGCCTCCTGGGGTTGCTTCCGCCGGAAGTTAGCTGAGATGTTGACAGGACAGATGTTGTCCAGCGTGTAGAAGAAACCAGGGAAGTCTGTGGTAAGGATGTTGGCGAAGGGGAAAAGCTTAGGGTCAGGGAAACCAAAGTAGGAAGAGTTGAGGTAGCCGTGGACCAAGGAGACGACAGTGGGCTGGAAAGACCCCTGGATGTCATTAATGGGTGGGTTGAAGCCTTCAAAAGTGAAGTTGCTGCTGCTGTTGTCCAGGTGCAAGGGGGTGGCGATGACCACAATGTCATAGGAGTCAGTGCCGTTACCCACCTCATTCTCATACCCCACCTCGTACAGAGCTTTGCCTTCTGGAAGGAGAGAGAAGACAGCACAAAAGTGAACTTACTCAAAGGCTTCTACCCACTGGTCTCCCATCTGGGGCCCAGCACTGAGGGTACAATGGGACCCTGGCACCCAGGGTGCAGCTGGGTTGTCTAGATGGCAGGTCCCAGGCTCTCCATGGTGGTGCAGCCACAGGTTGAGCACTGGACTGGGAGTCAGGAGACCCAAGTCCTTGCTCTGGTTCTGCCACTAACTAGCTGCAGGAGCTTGGGCAAGGCTGTCTCTCAAAGTCCTCATAGGTCAACTGAATGAAGCTAGACTGATGGAAGACTCAGCTTTCAGGCTCAGACTTTTGAATTGGGACAACAGTGCCCTCTAGTGTCACGCGGCAGGGCTGGGGCTTCCCATTGCTCTTCTGTAACTACTCCCCAGCAGATCACAGACCAGAGCTGAGGCACAGAGGAGGCAGAAGTGTGGGCTGGCTGGGAACAGTGCTGCCTCCTGCTCTGCTCACTCACCTGTACTGTGCAAGGTCACAGAGGTCACTGTGGCGTGGATCATGTTGGCCTTGGTGAGCTTCAGCAGACCAGAACAAACCAGCTTGTTGCCCCCTTCCACAGACCACAGGCTGCCTTGGGCCCCGGCTAGCGACATGGCTCCTGAGCAAAGCAGGAAGGATGGCTGGTGGGTTCTCAGATCCACTGGGAAGTGGTGCTGGACAGTCCAGCACTATTCTACCTGAGCCCCCCCAACCAGGGCAAGACTCCTCCCAGCCATGGGCACATGGACACAACAATCATACAAAGAAATACAACAAAGGTCATAGTGCAACAAAGTGACAACATTGTGCAGCAGTGTTGTGAGAAAGAGCTAGCTCCAAAAGACCACAAATTGCATGACTCTGTTTCTATAGAATGCCCAGAATGGGCAAATCCACAGAATAGAAAGTAGATTTGTGGTTGTCTAGGGCAGGAAGATGGGGGGTGTTGGGGAGGTGATGACTAAAGGGTATGGGGCTTCTTTTTGGGGTGATGAAAACGTTCTAAAATTGATTGTGGTGATGGGTGCACAACTCTGTGAATACACTAAAAAACACCAAATTGTACACTTTAAATGGGTGAACTGTATGATATGTGAATTATACCTCAATACAAAAATGCTATGAAGGAAACACACAAAACACTGGAAGAGTGAGCAGAAAAGCCACACTGAAGGGAAATTGAGGCAGGATTTGAAGGCTGGGAAGGAGCCAACAGTATCAAGAGCCAGAGGAACAGTATCCTGAGCACATGGGAGATGCCTGTTAATACAAACCTTTTCATTCATTTATTCAACAAAAACATATTGAGTGCCTGGTATGGCCCAGGTACCGTTCTAAATATCTTGGCTTCATCACTAACAAAAGAGACGAAGATTCCTACCTTTGTGAAGCCTACATTCTCTGCTCTTGTGGCCTGTGCTGGAGGCTGGTGGGCTATCCACATGGCCACCCACCTAGTAATGAGTGGGGAAGATCAGATGCTCTAAGAGACTAACACCCAGGGGCTCAGAGGCCTCAATGGGGCAGTTCTTGAAGCCAAAGAGTGGACAGCAAAGTATCATCTCAACTCTAACATTTACGCACATAAAAGGGACTATTAGGCAATCAGGCGGAGTAGAAACATACTGGACCTGTGAGCTGACCTTGCTTTCACTGTCTATGAAGGGAGGTGAGTACGATCTCCTGCCAACTCAGAGGACCAAACCCAGAATCAAACAAGGATGGCAGCAACAAAGCGCTTACGCAAGTGTAATGGGCCAGATAAATGTGAGGTTATTACAGGTACCCCAGCCTATTCTGGGCACTGTGGGCAGGGGCGGGGCAGGAGGGTGCTGAGGGCTGGATGCTCACCAGCAAACGCAGGCATTGCAGCTGACTGGCCGTAGCTAGCCCGCAGGACGGCAGAGACAACATCGTCGATAAAACGCTGTGTGACGCCCACCTGGAGCAAGGACTCAGCCACAGAACGTTGGGTCATGTTGATGAAGGTAGACTCTCCTAGTGAGTAGAGCAGCTCCTCCACGCCCGAGAAGGCATAGCCGTGGGCCTGGTACTTATAGATCCTAGGAGACACACAAAGCTGGAGTCCTTGTGCAGAAAGGCTTTTTGGCTGATCACCTGCTACAAGGTCCTGTACCTGAGGCCCACCATGGACCCACTCCCTCCTCTACATATGGAGGGGTGGGAGAGGAGGCTGGTTATGTTCCCCTTGGCCTGTTCTCTGGCTGCAGTGGGCCTATCCCACCTAGAGGACAGCATGGAGGTAAGGGAAAACACTCCAGAATGCCACTAGACCTGGTTTCACATCATGGCTCTGCTGAACAACGATTAGGTCACCTCTCTGGGCCACTCCCTGCGTGAAGCCATAGTTCATAGCCCTTTTTCATCCCACTGGGACTGTCAGGTAGTGGGCCATAGCCCACCCCCACTGCCACATCCCCTTCTCCAACAGTCTAGAGGACAGCATGGAGGTAAGGGAAAACACTCCAGAATGCCACTAGACCTGGTTTCACATCATGGCTCTGCTGAACAACAATTAGGTCACCTCTCTGGGCCACTCCCTGCGTGAAGCCATAGTTCATAGCCCTTTTTCATCCCGCTGGGACTGTCAGGTAGTGGGCCATAGCCCACCCCCACTGCCACATCCCCTTCTCCAACAGTTTCAGCTCTGTTCTGGCTTCTAGGACCATGTTGGCCCTGATGGCAGCAGCCTCACGCCAATACTGTCACCTTCTCTGCTAGTGCAGCCTGTCCTCTCCTCTGGACTGATCTTACAGGGCTCTCACTC